ACCAGACCTCAGCATAATCTCGAAGTAAGAGATGATCAAGAGGAGACCAAACCGAGCACGTTTTGAGACATCCTTGGCGTTTAGTCTTCATTGAAATATCCTCAACAATGGCTTATTTCGCTGGAGACATCCTCGACAAATCCCTTGTTTCGCTTGAGACATCCACAAACTATTGCTTATTTCGCTTGAGACACCGTCAAACTATTGCTTATTTCGCTTGAGACATCCTCGAAATAATTGTGTTGTTCGCTTGAAACATCATCAAACTATTGCTGATTTCGCCTGAACTTCCTGAAACTATTGCGTATTTCGCTTGAGACATCCTGAAACTATTGCTTATTTCGCTTGAGACACCGTCAAACTATTGCTTATTTCGCTTGAGACATCCTCGAAATAATTGTGTTTGTTATTCTCGAAGGTCTCATTGTCTGGTTCTGCTCTCTGAGCAGCCATCTGCTTGAGCAGCTCTGCTTCAGCAGCTCACCTTGAGCAGAGAGAGAGAGAGAGAGATATAGTGTGAGAAAGAGGAGAGAGGGAGGGAGAGAGAGAGAGAGACAGAGAGAGAGAGAGAAGTGGGACTCTCTCTCTCTCTCTCCCGCCGTGCGCTCCTCTGAGGTTTATTATCGTCGGCAGTTTTTTTATCATCGGCTGAGGTTTATTATCGTCGGCAGTGTTTTATCATCGGCAGTGGTCAATCGCAAATCCTGAGCTCTCCCGGAAGACGGCGGCACGCAAATGATACGCATTTTTTGAAAAACTTCATTTTGAAAAAAAAACTGCTTTTAATTGCGAATTCCATTGTAATCCTTCAAAATTGCGAAATCGAGCCGTCAGGCGCTTGAATGCCACATTGCGTTCGAGATTTAAGCACGCGACGCATTTATGAGAAATTTGCGTCGCACGCGCTTTTGCCCGAATATCGAACGCAGTGTGGCATTCAGGCGCGTGCGGGTTCGAATTCGCAATTTCGAAAGGATTTCAATGGAATTCGCAACCAAATATAGTATTTTTTGTCAAAATAAGGTTTTTCAAAAAAAAATGCGTGTCATGAGAAAATTGCGTCGCACACGCTTTCGCCTAAATCTCGAACGCAGTGCGGCATTCAAGCGCCTGACGGCTCGATTTCGCAAATTCGAAAAGATTTCAATGGAATTCGCAATTAAATACAATATATTTTTGTCAAACTGAAGTTTTTCAAAAACATGCGTATCATTTGCGTGCCGCCGTGTTCCCGGAGAGCTCAGGAGTTGCTATCGACCACTGCCGATGATAAAAAAACTGCCGACGATAATAAACATCAAGAGGTTGTGCTGAGGGGTTGTGCTGCAGGGTTGTGCTGGGGGGTTGTGCTGGGGGGTTGTGCTGGAGGGTTGTGCTGGAGGGTTGTGCTGGAGGGTTGTGCTGGGGGGTTGTGAGAGAGAGAGAGAGAGAAGGAAAAAAAAGAAGATAACAAGTTTTTTTTTTTTTTTCAAAAAAAAAGAAAGGAAAGACATAACACCGTTCGCAGAAATATATATATATATATATATATAAAATAAAGAAGAAGAATAATAAACAGAATAATAAGAAGAAGAGAAGATATATAGAAAGAAAGACAGGTAGAGGAGGAGGAGGAAAAGCAAAAAAAAACAAGTTTCAAATCCATCAGATTTTATTCAGAAGCGCATTATGAAAATTGAGAAAGGGAGAGAGAGAGAGAGAGAGAGAGAAAAAAAAGAAGAGGAGATAATGAAAAGCAAGAGAGGAAGGAGAGGAGGAGAGGGAAGGAGAAGACAGGAGAGGAGCAAGAGGAGAGAGAGATAGAGACACAGAGAGAGAAAAAAAACAGAGAGGAAATAAAAAAAAACTATCAGATTTTCCATGGATAATCAACTCCAGGGATAAACAAGTTCAGGGGGGCATGGGGGGGAGAGAGACAGAGAGATAGAAATAGAGAGAGAGAGAGAAGAAATAATGAAAATGAAGAGGAGAAGAAAAATTCAAGAGAAGAAGTAGAAGAGGAGAGGAAGAGGAAAAGCAAACATTTCAAGTTCCAAATCTATTATATTTTATTTACAAGCGCTTTATTTTTTTTTTTACTTTTTTTTTAATTTCTTAGAAGTGCTCGTGTAGGAGCTCATGTGCCTCACTTTCCGTCGATAATCAAACCCAGGGATAAACAAGTTCAGGGGCGCATGGGGAGAGAGAAAGATATAAAGAGATAAATAAAGAAAACAAAGAGAGAGTTGAGGGAAATACATAAAAGAAATATTAAAAAGGAAAAGGCCAATAAGAAATGAGGAGGAGAAGTAGAAGAGGAGAGGAAAGGAGCATAAAACAAAATATATGAATATTCAAATGTATTAATTTTTTTATTTACAAGCGCTTTATGATAATTATTGTTTTCCCAACCATCCTGTGGTGTTGGGTCCTCGTTTTGAAGAGACGGTGCCCCGCGTTCCTCCTCCTCCTCGCCCTCCTCCCTCCAGCGGTTCCCCCACCCAGGGCAGCGTTTCGTAGCCCCATAGGGAGCTCCACCGAAGGCTTCAGTGGGGGTGTCCACATGCGGTTCCCCCACCCAGGGCAGCGCTTCGTAGCCCCAGAGGGAGCTCCACCGAAGGCCCCAGTGGGGGTGTCCACATGCGGTTCCCCCACCCAGGGCAGCGTTTCGTAGCCCCATAGGGAGCTCCACCGAAGGCCCCAGTGGGGGTGTTCGCATGCGGTTCCCCCACCCAGGGCAGCGTTTCGTGGCCCCATAGGGAGCTCCACCGAAGGCCCCAGTGGGGGTGTTCGCATGCGGTTCCCCCACCCAGGGCAGCGTTTCGTGGCCCCATAGGGAGCTCCACCGAAGGCCCCAGTGGGGGTGTTCGCATGCGGTTCCCCCCCAGGGCAGCGTTTCGTAGCCCCATAGGGAGCTCCACCGAAGGCCCCAGTGGGGGTGTTCGCATGCGGTTCCCCCACCCAGGGCAGCGTTTCCCCATAGGGAGCTCCACCGAAGGCCCCAGTGGGGGTGTTCGCATGCGGTTCCCCCACCCAGGGCAGCGTTTCGTAGCCCCATAGGGAGCTCCACCGAAGGCCCCAGTGGGGTGTTCCATGCGGTTCCCCCACCCAGGGCAGCGTTTCGTGGCCCCATAGGGAGCTCCACCGAAGGCCCCAGTGGGGGGTTCGCATGCGGTTCCCCCACCCAGGGCAGCGTTTCGTAGCCCCATAGGGAGCTCCACCGAAGGCCCCAGTGGGGGTGTTCGCATGCGGTTCCCCCACCCAGGGCAGCGTTTCGTGGCCCCATAGGGAGCTCCACCGAAGGCCCCAGTGGGGCTGCCCTCATGCGGTTCCCCCACCCAGGGCAGCGTTTCGTAGCCCCAGAGGGAGCTCCACCGTAGGCCCCAGTGGGGGTGCCCGCATGCGGTTCCCCCACCAAGGGCAGCGTTTCGTGGCCCCACAGGGAGCTCCACCGAAGGCCCCAGAGGGGCTGCCTGCATGCGGTTCCCCCACCCAGGGCAGCGTTTCGTAGCCCCATAGGGAGCTCCACCGAAGGCCCCAGTGGGGGTGTTCGCATGCGTCTCCACTACCCAGAGGTAGCGCCGCCGAAAACGATATTCACACTTGCGGTATTCACAGTTGCATATGGTTGGGTCCTTCGCCAGGCTAATTTAAGTGCTCGTGTAGGGTAGCTCATGTGCCTCACTTGCCGTGGATAATCAACCCCAGGGATAAACAAGTTCAGGGGGGCATGGGGAGAGAGAGGAACAAAAAGAAATAAATAAAGAAATATATAAAGAATTAAAAAATATAAATCAAGAAAAAAGAAGGAGAAGAGAAGAGGAAGAAAGAGAGCAATACTTTCAAGTTCCAAATCTATTAGATTTAAGTTACAAGCGCTTTCTGAACATTGATTTTTTTGAATGCTCGTGTAGGGTAGCTCATGTGCCTCACTTGCCATGGATAATCAACACCAGGGATAAACAAGTTCAGGGGGGCATGGGGAGAGAGAGGAAACAAAAAAGACCTGAAGAACTACAAACATAAAAAATAAAACTTAAGAAAAAAGAAGGAGAAGAGAAGAGGAAGAAAAAGAGCAATCCTCGAGTATATGCTTGTTTCGCTTGAGACATCCTCGACAAGCTTCTCGAATCGCTTGAGACATCCTCGCAGAATTGCTGGTTTCGCTTGAAACATCCTTGAAACATTGCTCGTTTCGTTTGAGCCTGCCTCCCAAAATTCTTGGTTTCCCTTGAGACATCCTCACAGAATTGTTGTTTTCGCTTGAGACATCCTTAAGAAACGTATCGTTTCGCTTGAGACATCCTTCAGTATATGCTTGTTTAGCTTGAGACATCCTCGAGTATATGCTTGTTTCGCTTGAGACATCCTCGACAAGCTTCTCGAATCGCTCGAGACATCCTCGAGTATATGCTTGTTTCGCTTGAGACATCCTCGACAAGCTTCTCGAATCGCTTGAAACATCCTCACCGAGTTACTGGTTTCGCTTGAGACATCCTTGAAACATTGCTCGTTTCGTTTGAGCCTGCCTCCCAAAATTCTTGGTTTCGCTTGAGACATCCTGAAAAAAGTGTGATCGCTTCGCTTGATGTTGCTATTTCAACATAACTTGATATTGCTATCTCAACATGACGTTCCGAGGTGATAATGAAGTTTGGCCTCCGCGCCCCGCGCCCCCGACCAAACTCTTATTGGTCGACGATAAAAAACTCTAACGACTTAAGGGGGGGGTACATTATTATCGTGGGCATGGGGTTACTACTACTAAGACTACAAACAACTCCGTGACATGTCTCCCATATCCGAAAGGGTCTTGGGCAAACCCAAGGGTACCGATACCGCTACTGGACCTCTCCCGGGGTGCATTCTGACTAGAATCTCAAGGCGAATCCAGCGGCGGCGACGAGGGCCTCCGAGAAGGCCCAGCAGGACTATAACGCGGGAAGACGAACTAGCGTTTTGGGTAACTTCTCCTCCTCCTCTGGTCTGGGGATACGGATCTGCTTTCCGCCCGCGAACGCCGCGGCGCAGGCGCGCTGGGCCCCGGCCCCCCGCCCGCGTGCGGCAGGCAGGGCACCGGGGGCGGTGGCCGGCAGGGCCGCCGCCAGTACGGCCCGCAGCCGCGAGCAGCGGAGCATGGCTGCCATGGGCGGGCGGCCCGGAGATGGAGGGAGAGAAGATGGGACTACTCCAAATCCCTTATTAATCGACCCCCCCCTAAAAAACCAGACCCCCCTCCAAATGCGACCTAATATTCCGGACCCCCTCTTCGATGGGGCGCCTCAATAAACCAGACCCCCTCAGCTCCAATCCAGAGAAAGCGACCTAATAAACCAGACCCCCTTAATGACCAAAAAGGCGCCTTAAAAAACCGGACCCGGGGGACGATTAATAAGGGATTTGGAGTACGGCGGGCTCGTGTCGTGTCGGCCCAGCCGTTTGCTCCTGACGCCGCGGGGACTGCTCTTCAACCTGACACGATCGGCCGCTGCCGAGACGTCAGATCGTTCAACTTCGACCGATTCTGGGTCGCTGGCGGCGTTCAACGTTGAACGCCGGCGGCGAGGTCGCCGCCGGTCGGCACGACGCGAACCTACCTACCGTACCACCCTCCCCTCCCGGAGCAAAAACTTGATGGAAGCAGGCATCGGATAATGTAGTAGTCTTCGGGTTGTCAAGTCGGGCAGAAAAGTATCGACACAGTGTCGAACGAGTATCGCCTCCCAAGACCCGACACGTGAAAACTCTCCAGTTGCGGTACTCTCTTGGTGCCCGGAATTCTTCCTGGCGGTTAATCGGCTAAAGGAGGTTGGAGCATCATGAGGCTTGGGGCGGAGTGGGCAGGACTGAATCTTCCCATCAAATTTTTCGGGGGGGAGGGGGTACAATCGGGGCCTTGACCTAAGGAACCCTAAATACGGAACGAGGCCCCTTTTTTCCATAAGTTAACCTTCGATTTCCTGTCGGAAACATTCTATGTGATATGTAGTTTGGAGATTTTAAGTAGTAAATGTGATAATTCAATTGTGATAGTGTGAGATTCATGTATCAGGCGTTATAGAAAGGAACACCCGAGGCAAGCGCTGTGAAACACTTAATGGACGACGGGGGGAGCCCTCCCCCACGAAAAGGGGTTCCTTCTTCAGGGCACCGACTGTATGACCAAGACTGAACGCAGTAACGTCGCGGCGATCTGTCCGTGCGAAAAACCCTAGCCTCCTTCCTCCTCCTCCTCCTCTCCTCCTCCTCCCTCCTCCTCCCTCCCTCCTCCCTCCTCCCTCCTCTCCTCTCCCTCCTCCCTCCTCCCTACTCCCGTCCTCCTCCTCCTCCTCCTCCTCCTCCTCCTCCTTCGTCATGAGGAAACCTGGAGCCCTCGCGCGGCAACCCGATGGCCCGCTGCGCGTCAGATCTTCGGAGGGCCCGCGTCGGGCTCCTCGGACGGGTGTCGGCCTTGCGACGCGGAGTCGCCTCGCGAACGTCGACCCCTGTCTCACGAAGCGGACGCATGGACTAGATCGTGCAGCCGTTTTGCTCGCCTCGCGAGGCCTCCAGGACTCCCTCATGGCCATCCTGATCAGCGCGTCAATTGATTCGTGAATCATCCTCGCAAGGCAGCGGCGGCCGGCATGGACCATGACCGAGATCGGCGTCGAGACAGAATCCTGCGACGACTCTTGGTTACGGTGACCGTGCTTCTCCCCTCCAACCCTCGAGGAGAGGGATGGGCACGCTGAGCCAGGACGGCACGCGCACAAAGTCGGGGGAACAGGTACTCCGAGCTTCTTAATCACCGTCGGGGGGGCGCCACCCCCCCGCCGACAGCCCCATATCGACCCCCGTCGCGGGCAGCCACCGCGCGCCGAAGGCGCTCCGACCCCCGTCGCGGCGCGACGACGAGGCGAGGTTGATCCCCATCGGGGGGGTACCCCCCACACGCTGGGGGGGGTACAGGCGTAGCTCCTCCTGCGGGGCCACGAGGCGAGGCGGTGTGTGTGTGTGTGTGTGTGTCTGTCTGTGTGTGTGTGTGTGTGTGTGTCTGTGTGTGTATGTGTCAGTGTGTAAGTGTGTGTGTGTGTGTATGTATGCGTGTATGTGTGTAAGCGTATGTGTGTATGTGTGTAAATGTGCGTAAAGTGTGACCTAGCATGCCTCCAATAAGAAATCGGAACTCAAATCGGAATCCCAGATCGAATCGAATCGGAATCGGAAACCATCGAAATCGAATCGAATCGGAATCGGAGGAATCGACACGAGCCCTGTGTGTGTGCCGAGCTGGGCACGCGGCGACGGTGCGGGGGCTGTGCGGAGAAGGCGCCCACGGCTCCGCGAGGCACCGTGGGGAGCCCTCGGAGAGGCCCCGCGGGGGCTCCCTCTGCCCGACGGGGAGGCCCTCGCGGAGAAGGGCTCGGCCCACCGGGGGAGGCCCCCCGGGCAGCGGCAGGAAGAGGAGGGGGAGGAGATGACCTCCTCCTCGTCCTCCTCTTCCTCCTCCTCCTCCTCCTCCTCCTCCTCCTCCTCCCCTCCCTGCCTCCTCCTCACCTCCTCCTTTCTCCTCCCCCGCCCCCAAGGCGGGCAAAAAACGGACGCGGCCCTCTCCTCAGAGCTCTCCTCGCGGGTGCTCTCGCGGGTGCCCTCGCGGGGCTGACCTTCCAGAGAGCTATTTTTTAGCGCTGGAAACCTACAGACCTAAAAAGCTGAGCGACACGGCCTAAAACCAAGACGTAGAATAGCTTTTGGACAGGTTTTTAAGTCGCGTGCTATTGTTTAGCCCCCCTGGAAGGTCAGGGGAGGAGGTGCGGCGTGGCGCTGCGGATGCAAAACGAGGGCCCAGCTCACACGCAACGGTAGGGTGAAAAGCAAAACATCTCGTGCTGGCTCGAGATTTGAAGCAGCTTCCGCCGGAAACTGAAGCGCACCGCCGAACACCTCGTCGTACTCGTCGTCCTCCGCCCTTCCACTTCCCCGTCCCCGCTCCCCCCTGGTACCCGTCGGCGGGAAGAAATGATAGCAACATGAAATAGGAAGGCGTTGTACATCGGTTTGGCGTCCGCCCACACTCTTGAAGTAACATAACATATACTTTCAACGAACTTCAAAAGCAGTGCCTTGGGGACCCGAGAATCTACCTACTCAACGACCGGTGGTCGAAGTCACCTACTCAACGACCGGTGGTCGAAGTCAGAGAAACATGGAACGAGCGACACGTACAATACCTTGTAGGCGTTGTCTGATTCAGGTTTCGACATCTGGCCGAAGGGTGGGGGAGGGGGGGGTCCTGAATTTGGTTCGGTGCTTAATCCCACCAGCCCTCTGGGCGTCGGTGGTTTAGGGCGTTTCCTCTTCCACCCCTCCCTCTTCCCCTTCGGGGAGGGGTTTACCCCTCCCCCTACCCCCTCCCCACTGACCTGGACAGGAGGGGCGGGGAGCGGTCAAAGCGTCCAAAACAGCCTCGGCGAGGAAGCCAAAATCATTGATTTTAGCAGGGTTTTGGCCCCATTTTGGCCTCCTGGGGGGGCAGCGCTAATTAAAGCTCAGCTCTTCTTTGATAGATCTCCTCCAAGATGGCACAAAGAAGCGCCCAGGAGGCCCCAAGAGGTCCCAAGATGACCCCAAGATGGCCCCAAGAGGCCCCCAAGAGGCCCCCAGAAGGCCCCCAAGAAGACCCTCAGAGGCCCCAAAAGGCCCCCCCCCCCGAGGCACCCAAGACCCCGAAGAGCCCCCCAGGATCGCCAAGAGACCCTCAAGACGTCCCAGAGTCCCAAGAGGCCCCCAAGAATCGCCCAAGAGATACTCCAAGAGGCTCCTAGAGGCATCCAAGAGACCTCTGGCCCTTGTGCTTGCCCTCCTCCTCCGCCTCCTCCTCCTCCTCCTGTTCCTCCTTCCTGCTCCTACTCCTTCTCTTCCTCCTCCTCCTCCTCCTCCTCCGCCTCCTCCTCATCCTATTCATCCTCCGTCTTCCCACTCCCTCATCCATCCATCCATCCATCCACCTCCTCCTTCTCCTCCTCACTCCTTTGCACGGTTCGGCCGTCCTCCTCTTTGCTGCCGCACTTCCCTGATCACCTCAACTCGCCTGGACATCGTTTCGGGATGGGCTGGTGGGGATAAGCGAAGCGTCTAGAATTTATCTGCTTCTACCAGTCGCCCTGGCAGGCTGGGGGGATGGGGTCACGACAAGTCGCCAGAAGCTGCCGCCCAAAGCAGCCAAGATCTAGTCTACGGGAATGATTCGCCAACAGAAAGGACCCCTGACTCGTTGGGCGAGGACCCGAGCTAGGAGGGCCAAAACATCAGGGACAGCGTCTTTACTTCTGCAGATGCACCACACCAAACCGCCCATACCTAGTACCATCCCTGATGCGAAGACGGGGACCTAAATGAGGCCACGTGGGGAGGAGGGGGACGGGGGCCCGCGCCGGTCGCTGAAACAAAGCATGACACAACGGTTAGGTGGGGCATGTCCCCTTTACAGGCGGATGTTCGACGAACAATCAAACATACACCCAAACTATGCAACAAAACAAGAATTATCCCAGCAAAGCAACCTAACAGCGATGTGTAAAAGCATATGTGTGCGCACCATCATTTAGATTCAGATGGCGATTTTATTAATATTCAACTCGGACTCTAATTGTAGACTTTTGCATCGAAGTCTGCAATCGACGGATGTGAGTTTAAACAAGCAGTCGGTATCAACGAATGCAGTTTCAAATGAGACTCTGGTATCTACGTTCACTGCGTGCTCACGGAAGCGTTTGAAGTGGATGATGTGATGATGACCATGATTGTTTAAAGTAAAACTTATGCATCAATGAATGCTGCGTTTGATGGTTGCGTTCTTTCGGCGTGATTTTTCGGACACGCACGAGGGGCACAAATGAGCGCAGCGTGCGGAGCGAGAAAACGGGCAAAAGCTGCAAGCTAAGAAGCATCGCAGACACTCGCAGGCACCGTGCCAACGCGGCCGAAGTAGTCTTCCAATACTGCAGGCTGACAAGCACAGCGGGCATGGATAGTTGGATCCATCACCTCTCCTGTTCGTCTTCTCGAAGATCGCGCCAGTCTAGCGGCGATCACAAGCGAACAGGCGTGGCAACCCTGCCGGCTTAAAAGCACCACAGAGACTCAGAGACAGAGTCCCCCCTCCTCTTCCACCTCATCTTCCTCCACCTCCGCCCTCCTCTT